TAAAGTTTTGATAAGCACTTGAAATTCTATTAAAATGTCAATTTTTAGTCTGAATCCAAAGAAAATCTCTCTTTTATCCATTAATAATAACTTAAATATGCTTTTTGTTAAGACGTATACCTGAAAATGTGTGCATACATATTCGCGTTAAATGCAATACATGTGCACGTGGAATCAATTTGTAAAAGTGTAAAATACGTAAACGTATGTACATAAACAATAAAACTTTCTCATGAATACCATAAAATCATTGGTCTTGAAGGCTTGAAGGGAATGTACTAAGAAAATATATGAGCGAATTAAAAAGTGTATACAATTTATAGCTGAAAAGTACATTTTTTGTATAGATTTCGTACTGAAGGAACAATTTCATATCCCAACACTGATACAGAATGTAAACAAACACAGGGTTGCAAGGAAAAAAAGTTGAACGAGCTCAAAGTTGGCTGGCGACCAACTTTGTTGAAAGCGATTAGTTGAAAGGCCTTTCGGACTTTCAACTAAAAGTTGCCTGAAAAATCGCCTCGTGCGAATGCCCTATTAAAGTACAAAACCGCGTATCGCCATTCTGCAAAACCGCGTAACTAACATTGGCTGCCAAAAATTGGATTTGCTCACACAAGCTCTTGGCTCAATCCTTATCCAGTCGTCCTGAAATATACTAGCGAGAAATGCGATTTATTTTTAAAAAAAGAGAACCGTTTTGAAATATGAGTGTTTTTACTATCTAAAAAATAATTTATGCAACCTCACATACGCGGTTTTGCATTTTGTTGATACGCGGTTTTGTACTTTAAACGATGATATATATTTGAATGTATGTATATATGTTTGTGTACATGTATATATGCACATATTTAGTGCAAACAAAAACAAATGTAATAAGCGCTCGTTTATATAAATGCGAACTTTACTGATTGTCAAAAATTATGTTTGTTGTACATTTGTTTATGTTTGTCATTGTGCGTGTAATTTTCAAGAGTAGTTTTGTGCTCTCGCTATCTCGTCCTTAGTTGGTATACTCTGATGAACATATGTGAGGATGATAGGGATGTCGGAAAAACATCGATGCATCGAAAATATCGATGTTTTGCTTCGATGCATCGAAATTTTTCCACTCGATGTATAAATAGTCGATGTATCGATGCATCGATTCATCGATGTTTTTTCAAAACTGACATCTGTAGTACATTTAATCATCATTCCAGTTTTTAATTGTAGAAAAAAGAGAAGTAACTTTGACCAAATAATTGAAACGGCTCCAAAAAGTTCCGTTAGAAACATAATTAGCTCAGTTGCAGTAATTTATTTCCAACTTTGTATAATTTTGCTAATAACATATTTCGTTGTGAAACATTATCTGAAAAATCCTATGTAAATCGATGCATCGATGTATGCCCTTCGATGCATCGAAAAATATCGATGTATATTTCGATGCATCGAATCAAATAAAAACATCGATGTATTTTTGACACTGACATCCCTAGAGGATGATAGCAAGGTCATCTTATATAAGGTAGTGTTACAGGAGCAGTTGAATTTCTCGCCGGATGTTTCTTAGAGAAAGCCATAAACGTAGCGACCGTTGGTTCAACTTGGTGTTGTTTTGCTCTAGATTGCACCGTTTGTGGGCCTGTTGAATGAATCTATAGGCCTTATTATGAGTTGGGTTCGATTTTCGATCTTCGCTGGCTATCGAAGATCGAAAGTGAAATTGGTATTATGAGCTATGCAAGCGTGTCGAAATTTTCGTTGAGTTTCGAATTTTCTGTCGAACAGAATTTTGCTTTCGATGGGGTAGCGAAGTGTTAGAAAATTGTGAAAAATGTATGATTTTGCATTTGTTTTCTTACTTTTTGGCGGGTAGACACTAATTTTAAACAATTTTTTTTATCAATTTCATGAAGTTTTAACGTCGTGAATACAAAACACAACTCGAAAGGCTGCTTTACTTGTGAAGGAAAATCCAAAGAAAGCCATAAACGTAGCGACCGTTGGTTCAACTTGGTGTTGTTTTGCTCTAGATTGCACCGTTTGTGGGCCTGTTGAATGAATCTATAGGCCTTATTATGAGTTGGATTCGATTTTCGATCTTCGCTGGCTATCAAAGATCGAAAGTGGTATTCGTATTATGAGCTATGCAACCGTGTCGAAATTTTCGTTGAGTATCGAATTTTCTGTCGAACAGAATTTTGCTTTCGATGGGGTAGCGAAGTGTTAGAAAATTGTGAAAAATGTATGATTTTGTATTTGTTTTCTTACTTTTTGGCGGGTAGACACTAATTTTAAACAATTTTTTTTATCAATTTCATGAAGTTTTAAAGTCGTGAATACAAAACACAACTCGAAAGGCTGTTTTACTTGTGAAGGAAAATCCCAATACTCAGTTGGCACGATCTCTGAGAACAAATCATAGAGCTGTGGATAGCTTTAAAATATTTTAAATAGATTTGGCTCACAAAAGCCTCTTTAGACAGTCGGAAGTTTTTAGTAAATCTGTAGACAAATTTCTTAAATATATTTTATGTCAAAATATATTGTAAAGACTACACTTAAACTCTCTTAAACATTTACTACTCCTGGTCAGTTCACTAAACTCTCATCCTCTGACGAATCGTTGAACCCAAGAACTTCGTTGTACTAATTTTTACCACGTTTTTATAACCTTGCTTTCTTTTTTATTTCATTTTAATTTGCACAAATTTACATAAATATGTATAAGCACACTATTTAGTTTGCTCGATTTGTAAACAAAGCTTCTCAGCGGTGAAAAATATGCTATTGTGAACAACATAAACGAGCCAAGTTCACAATAGAAATATTCTTCATCGAATGAGTGCCATAATACCAAATCAAAATTCGTTCGATCAGCACTTTCGACCACAGTCGAAGATCGAATGTAACTCATAATAGGGGCCTATATTGTATGTCAAAATATATTCGAAAGACTACACTTAACTCTCTTAAACGTTTTCTGCTCCTGGCCAGTTTTCTAAGCTCTCATCTTCTGACGAATCGTTCAACCAGAACTCCGTCCATTTTTACCACGATTTTACAAACTCGCTTTCTTTTTTATTTCGTTTTTATTTGCACAAATTTACATAAATATGTATAAGCACACTATTTAGTTTGCTCGATTTGTAAACAGAGCTTCTCAGATGTGAAAAATATACTATTGTGAACAACCTAAACAAGCGAAATTCACAATAGCGCTATTCTTCATCGAATGAGCGCCATAATACCAAATGAAAATTCGTTCGATCAGCACTTTCGACCACAGTCGAAGATCGAATGCAACTCATAATAGGGGCCTATGTCTTGGTTGTATGAAATATCAAAAAATTTGGATTTTCTGGCAAGTTGTATAACTTATCGCTACATTAATGGCTTTGTTGTACAAACTCATTTAATTTGCGTTTATTTTGTACACTAAATAACGGAATACCGTCTAGTCAGCCGAAATAGGTACGTGCTTTCGTTAAATTTTATAAATGTAAGCCGAAACTATGAAATTGTAAAAATGAGATTTTACAATGAGACTGCTCGCAAAATTGCAATGTTTGTGGGCAAAACGTCCAACTTGATTGCGGATTGATTTGAACCAACGTTTTCGGCTTGCATTATGTCAGAAGGATGTGTTTGTTGTAATTCATTCTGTCATTTACTACCATTATGTGTAGGCCAATTCATGAAATCATGTCATGCGTTTGAGTAGAAACTGAATGAATGAACACCATTTCATGATTTCAATTAACGCGAAATAGAGTTTATGCACTTAGTTTTTACTCAGATCGATGAAATGATTTCGTGAATTGGACTACTCATACATTTGATACTTATGCTTTTAATTTATAAGGTAATTTTATGTTTTTATACTCTTGCTACCACATGAATATATGAATTCGTCATAAGAATATATGAATTCGCCTTGGAAGATAGAAAGCGAGTAAGAATAAATGCCGAACAAAGGAATTTGTCTTCTTTCAACTTAAATAAATGCGTTTTGCAAACAAAAGTGCGTACGTTACGTAGTGCCTTGGTAATGGCGAATTCGTAAGGATCTATTTATTGCATTATAAACATTTTCATTTATTTGTTAAACATAAAATTATTTCCATTACAACCCGGTCCTATGGATGCTAGAGCGCGAATTCATATAAGACGGTGTTACCGGAAAATGAATAAATAAATTATATGTATATCAGAAAATTAGTAAGATGAAATGCAATTATTGTTTGATTTCTAACCAAACCTATGTATGTAACTCAATCGCCTAATGGTTTGCCGAACCGTAAACATATGAGTAGTCCACTTGCAAACAGCGTTATGTGATTTTATAATAGAAAGCCATAAATTTAAAAAAACGACTACGACAACAAGTATCATTTAAATTGAATCTTTTCCATTATTACCTGAAAATTTGGATTAATAAGAGCTTTTTAAAATTGTAACATAACATAACATGACATAAGATAACATTAACAGTCTATACGACCTAAAGCAGTTTTCTAAGTTCATCAGAAGATGTATAATCTTGAAAGTTTATAAATAAGTGTGATAGCGACTTTTTTCAGAATATAAAAAAGATTTTGCACTGTGTTGTTAGTGGACATGAAACTACTATAAATACTGGTACGTAATCCTCCAAAAACTAAAAATCGATAAAATTTTACATAGCGCACTTTGCACTCATATGTTTACACATCATCCAATTTCGTGAGTAGGTACCTGGTACTCACACCTTTTTTTTAAGTAGTTTCACTTCTATCATGTGTACGGGGTTACACACGCATTTTTTTTAACAAATCTGAAACTCATGCACATGCGTGGGAAGAAATAATGTTAAAAATTGCGCGAACCCTTCCAATAGAACTGCTTACTTCTGATGAGCACGAAACAAATCCGTATGTGAAAATTTTATCGATATTGTGTAAAATCGGTGATTTCTCATCATCGCCCATCCCTATTCTATGCATTTTTCTAAATAAAAATTATGAGCGATTTTTTTGTATTTGGAAGAAAGTTTATTTTAATTTTCGATGATCATTTTATTGAAATTTTATAATCAGGCAACGTTGAATAAGAATTTTTCACCCTTGTACAAACAGTGAGTTAGGTACTTTCAGAATTCTTTTTTTTACGAATAGCTTACGTATAAACGTAGCAAACGGTCATTCCTTTTCATTTAATAGCAACATTCGTTAATAAATTCAAGGAACTGGACTACAAAGTTTTAGTTTTCTTAGTATGGAATCATGCCAGTCCGGGGAATTCCACCGAAAATCGTAGAATTTCGCGGTGGCCAACGGGGAGAAAGAAAAAATGAGTTGGCATCCCTGATATGCATGTACATTAGGGTGCCCATCGAAAATGTGTTTTTTTGAAAATTTCAAGACCCTACCCGTTATCGTTTTATCGTTTTAAGGGAAATATTATTGCCTATTTTTATAGATTTTCAAAGGTCATTTAGAGGTCACGACCTATCGATTTAGGTCAGAAAATGCGATTTTGTAGATTCATGAGTTTTTGAATGATTATTTTTGATTCGATCGAATATGATATGAGTGATGCTCAGAGAGCGCATCCATATAAAACGGTGATGGGCACCGCCTTGCCCGCGGGCAAAGCTCTTTTGAGCTTTATATATATTTTGTATAGTCGCATGCAGAATAAAAGCTCTCTCTGCCCATCGCCGATACCAAAATCTGCAGAGAGCTTTGAAGAATTTCACCCGCGGGTGCTGTTTTGAGCATAACTGATGCACATATGTAACCAGCGATGTCGACGATTGTAGAAATGTGATTAAAGTTGAACATGTGAAAACACGTTTGAATGTCTGACTGCAGCAAATCGTGTAGAGATGTTTGCTGTTATTTGCTAGCTTCTAGCAGGTTCGAGTTAGAATGCCGTCGGAGACAACATGGTTAAAGCGATAAAGAATGTTTTTTTTTTTGAGTTTCCGAAATATCAAAAAGCATCTCTTAAGTGCAAAACATAAGCGTATTCAAACGAAAAAGTTGGCAACAAAAATCTGTTTTAGGTAAACAAAAGTGTGATTGATATCACCAATGGCATTGTTAATATTAAACAAAAAAATCACCTTGATTCCTTTTCAAGTTTAAATTTGGTAATATTAACCAATTTTTGGCTGATTTTTTTCTCACTGTACGTACAAATGTACAAACTATACCTTATTTTATAAATTAGGAAAACTCTCTATGTATACTCTCTAAATGAGTATGCCATTCACTAACTCACTTAGAGAGCTGCATCTTAAACCGATGTTTGGGGCACACCTTCAATAACTTGTGTCCGGGCGTGGGGCTGTGACGCTTCTTGAGTGGCTGATGTGGGTGGGAGTAGGGAGCGTTGCAATTGTGGTGCAGAGCTTATTGTCGCTGTGGTGGTATGCGGGTAGTTGCGAGCGCTAGGCACTGGTGTTGTACTGCGACTGCTCATAGTCCCAGTGGGCGCTGCTTTGAGCTTGGAACTTGTAAGTCCCGGAGTTTCTGAGATTGTGGTAGTTGTAGTCGCAATAAGTGGTGCGCTCGATATTGGCGTTGGTGGCTCACATGTTAATAGCCGTTTTTCCTCTACACTCTTCGGCTTTTGTGTAGTTGGTGTAGCACTATTATTGATTGTGCCCAAGCGTGAAGGCCGTGTGCTGCTGTAGGTGCTACTTAACGTTCCGTCATTCGTTTCCTTTAGCGAAATCGCTGATTTCAGAGAGGACTGGCTTCCTGGTTTATGTGTCATGGCCAAGGAACTAGGAGATCGAATTAATGTTGTTTCAATATGGATTTTACTGCCCAAAGTCTTGAATGATGGAGAATCACGATACTCGTAGATATTGTCACGGGAGCGGAGTGCATGATGATTGGCAACCATATGAGCGTTATCTACACCGCTATGGCCATCATCAGGTAGCTCTGTGCCGTCGGGATTTATAAAAACATCTTCGTCATAAAAATCTGAGCGCCTAAACGAAAATAAAAATAGAATACCATTAATTGATTTCTTTAATAAGCAGCCATATTCAAATCAATAATAAACTATTGATTAATTGTAAGATGGCAGGTGTTAGATTAACAACAAAATGATTTAGAAAAAAAATATAAAAAAAACCTGTTTGTCTCACAAAAGGGCACTTTATATAAAGCAGCTGTAGACAAATGTATACCAAACTAGGCTTTTCCTATTCATGTGAGTTCACAGCTTGCATATTCGTTTGCATAAATAAATTTTACTCAGTGCCGGATTTAGGATCTATGGGCCCCTAGGCTCTTTTCGTGGTGCCCCTGGGAGTACTAAGGCAAACGGAGCTCCTCCAGATTTTAGTTTTTTAAAGTTAGAAACATAACCTAGTCTTACGGGTAAAAATTACGATTACGTTTTTTCTATACAATCTAAAAATACATGCTTTGTAAATTTTAAACCAAGTAATTTTTTTTT